GAACCCGCCACCTTAGGTGTATGTGGCTGGCGCCTTAGCCACTTGAGCCACAGGCGCCGAGCCTCTGTCTTTACTATAAATTGATAGTTGTCTCTTGTTACCATTAAATATTTAAATATAGGGTTGAAAACTAAGCTAGATAATAACTTAGAGGTACTTATGAAATACATTTAGGTTTCCAGCTTAAATTTTCTCTTTTTTTCAGAGATCTGCAGCGAATAACTCTGCCCAGCATTAACCGCCTGAGGCACTTCACCAATGACACAATTCTGGATGTCTTCTTCTATAATAGCCCCACCTACTGTCAGACTATCGTGGACACAGTTGTTTCTGAAATGAACCGAATATACACACTTTTTCTGCAGAGGAACCCTGATTTCAAAGGGGGTGTATCCATTGCTGGTCATAGTTTAGGTAACAAATGAACTGTCTGTGACCAGAGAGGACTGTCAGATTTTAAGGACACCTGTTTCTGAAGCTCATTGTCTTTTATCATGATCAGATTCAGAGGTCTAGGAGTGGTTTGTGATGAAGTAGTGGCTGGAAGGGTGGTGGTAAATTGCAAAGAGAGACTCCCTGCTACAGAGATGTGCTAACATGTGTAGCACTCATGCTTACACATTGTCCCTTTCTTCTATTTTACTTATAGGTTCGCTTATATTGTTTGATATCCTAACAAATCAGAAAGATTCTTTGGGGGATATTGACAGTGAAAAGGTAATTTAGATGTTCAGATAGGTTCTCTTATAGTATTCCTTAGTAAGAATTTTTAGATCATAAATCTGCTTTTTGTTTTTAGCTGAGTTTAGTCTTATGCCATGACATTAAATTTACTTTTATTTTCATTTTAATAGACTTATAATTATTTCTGTTATTTTTGGGTGATAGAAGCAAGATAGTAATATGTTTCTACAAATAATTGCCATATTCTAAAATAACCATAGTTGTCTTGTTTTCCTTTATAAGTAAGTATACTTATTAACAGTGATAGAATCATTGAGCTAAATGGAGTTTGCATATGGAGAAAGGAAGAATGGATTAGATGTAAACTGGTATGATTTATAGAAGTTTAACTTGAAAGTACTGGGGGACTTGGTGTTTAAATGTATATTTTAGTAAAACAGAGTCTTGTGGACGTGTATCATCTATAATATTGATGCGGCACTTAGCATAACTATCTTGTATTTTTTCTTTTCTTTTTATGTAAGTGTCTCATTTCTCCTATTAGCCCATGCGTTCTTCTAGGGCAGAGCCTTTGTCTTAGGCTGTTTTATTTCTTAAGTACTGTTTCCCTAATTCCTTAAGTATTGAGCTTCCTTTAAGCTCCATAAATGTTTGTTAATGACAATAAAGAATATTTTGATTATTTACTCATTCATTTAAAAACATTTTCAGCTGAAGTAACAAAAATCTTGAAGCTCATTCACCTCTTAATTTATATTTCATATACATCACAATTAAAGTTAATGTCTATCATTGTGGAAATAAAACACATGTCTTAATTATGAAATAAAGGAAACTCTAAGTGAATTTTGAAAATACAAACTTTATAATTTAATTTTTAGGATTCGCTAAATATTGTTATGGATCAAGGAGACACACTGACCCTAGAGGAAGATTTGAAGAAACTTCAACTCTCCGAATTCTATAGTATCTTTGAGAAGGAGAAAGTAGATAAAGAAGCTCTGGTAAAAATAGTGTTTTAAATTTATGCCAAAGTATTTTCAGTATGCTTATTGCTTATCTTCATGTTTACCCAAGAAGCTGCCCGTGGTGACATTACCATTAATAACATTCTTTAGCATTATTTGTTGGCTTTTATCATATAAAGTGACCTTTGCTTTGTGGGAGTTCAAAGTTCAGATGAGCCGTATGGATGTTCATGTAGCAAAGGAGCAAAGACGAAACGTGTGCTAAGAGAAAGCGTGAGTGTGAGCAAAGACGAAACGTGTGCTAAGAGAAAGCGTGAGTGTGAGCAAAGACGAAAC